CGTGAGTCCATTTCGACTGGAGAGAGGCTGGTAATTAATTAATTAAATGAGATTAAATAATTGCATGAGATTTTTGGCGAGTGGAGACGGCTTCGCTAGCCTTAACCGCGTATCTCCATCGCTTGTCAATCCATCATCCCAGAAGTTTGTGATGCTTTGTATGTTTGTGTTCATTTTACCAATTAAACCAAAGAAATGCATATAAAATAAGGAATAATAACTCAGAGATACGTGAAACTTGGTGACAAGAGAACCAGGACGTTAAGTGCAAAATGACAGTCGCAGCACATGTTGGAAGTGGCCACTGCCATGTTCAATACACAAACGTGCATGGTGAAGCATGTTGCTGGACACAGACTGTAACAACGCTGGCTGAACGTTGGCTGAATTCATTTTCTGCCATTGCATGGTGTTACCACTTATTATCACCGTATTACTTATTGTCGGGCTACATTAAATTCCAGGCATATGCGAACACTCAGGAAAAGAGCTGTAAAGCATCTTTGCCAGCATTCAGCCAGCGGTCTCTCTCCAGCAACACACTTTGCCATGCACCTTTGTGTATTGAACATGGCAGTGGCCACTTCCAACATATGCAGCATATAACATGGAATCAATATTGATTTCACGTCTATTCAACGTTCGGATGCTAAATCAGCGTTGAACCAACGTTGTTTCGATGTTATATGCTACTAGGGAGCCTGTAGGCAAACACCAAATTTCAGCGCTGCTTGTTCCACTCCTCATTGATATGTCCACTTTCATCTTCTCCATATTCTACTGGACTTTCAAGTTTCGAATTTTACTTTGCACTTCAGCCACCGGTACTTCCAATTCCGTAACATGATTAGACCAACCATCTTGCTTTCTTTTCTTGTCCTTGTACAGGACACTCTTCATTTCGATATTCATCATTCAACTCAACAGTCTTTTCCCTGCCCCACTCCATTTTCGACACTGAAATCTTTCCCCTTCTACGCAAGAAAAGAAGACTGTGTTTCTACTTTTGAAAGTCTCTTGCAAAGAGGACTCGGAAAGAAAGATTCTTGCAAAGGAAACTTTCAAAGATGTCCACACTATGAAATATTTATTTGCAAGTCTACTTGCAAAGAAAAATTGCATAGATAACTTCCTGGTGTGGACGAGGCCTTAGGAAGCATGGTAAACAGGTTCCCAAAGTCAGACTTTGCGCAAAAGTCTGACTTTTCCCTTTTGCCCATTCGGCACAGCAATGTTGTCAACGTTGAGCAAAGGTTGATATTTCAACGAAACAATGTTGTCTCAATGTTGTGCAAAAGGTTGCCTCGACGTTGAAGCAATGTTGAAATGAAACATGATGTGAACACATGATTGAACACATGTTGAGAATATGATGCTGCGTTTGGACAAATATGTGGAAAATGCAACACGTGATGTGGAAATGTAACGGCATACAGTTATCTTTTGAATGGCATAACAATCATTTCTTTACATTCTTATTTGAATAGAAGTCACCGCCGGATGGACAAAGGGAGTTCTTTACAATCACCCTGTAGATGCAATTTTATTTCATTCAGTAACGAACGGCCCAAAGACGTAGGATATTTAATTACTGAGGAGAACTTGTAGGCTGCTGAAACTGAGTTTTCCGAAGACAGAGCAGAAGTTGTAAACTGTCATACACAATCTGATGAACATGAGCTCATCATTCTAAAAATTGGATGGCGTGTAGAAAAACAAGTTGGGCAAGCCCAATCCCCCTTTCAGTTAAGTGGGCCGGCAGGTTGATTTTGACACGCCAACTCTCGTACTTGCCGTTCAATGCCCCATATGTACCTGGATTGCTTCTTCAGCTTGACGTGCGGCTTCATACACGTACTGAGACTGGCGACCGCTCTTTGTAGTTTTTTTTTTCCAGAAGGTGGCATCGTTCTCCTTGATTCCTTGGCCACATTGAGATTGCTCTTCATCCAGACATAAAGTATCTCGTGTCTAAGCATCATAAATTAGAAGGTTAATATTCTTGAATGCAACAGATTACTGGTTCACAGGGTTTCATATACACATTTCCTCGCTACCAAGCAAAGGGTGAAAGCATTTGACGTTCGAGTTAAAAATGCATCCTCTAGTCTATGAAGAATAACTCGACCACCAACGATCGAGTATCGTAGCAACACGAGCTTAGGTACGGTTGGAGTCGAACGGCCGCGAGGTTACGCATCTTGGAAGGAATTCGACTCCGAATGTTATAAATATATATATATATATATCTACAGCTATTATATTTGCTAGAGAAGGCAATTGGGCAACATGCGTGATGTACACCATGAGAATAAATAAATAAATTCAAAATACCTACTCCATAACCTGAACCTAATAACAAGGCACACAATTTTCGACACTGGAATGATCTACATTGCCTCGGTCACGGAACTGCATGGTCGCCCAGAATCTTTCATGGTTTTATCTGTCATACATAGAGGTAAAATAAAGATATACCGCACAGGGTGTGTAGGAAGACGAAATCACGAGAATTTTTCCGCGCGTTCGACTCAACCCTCACCCTGATGAAGGCGTTCGGGTTTCGCCGCTTTACCCTACTCATGCCTGTCCTCCGTGACCCAATTTCAAATCCAAAATTTGCAATAAAAATTCCAATTTTGGTGGAAGTTCGCCATAAAATGAACTCAGCCTGTACTTTGTTCATATCTACCTACTTGCCAATTTTCGCACTGATCAGGCCAATATATTCTTAGTTATCGTCGGACAACCAAAGTGTGACACGGACACACGGACGGGACCATAAGTGCTCCCTTTCCTTTCAGGAAAGGAGGCCCATTAAGAAAGGAGAATGAAGAAAGTGACCACACTCAAGTCTCCCAGAACGATGGTGAAGGCAAAGTTGAGGCTACTGAGAGACAGAAAAGAAAAAGCCAACATCCCAGTCGAATGTACGTTGGCATAATCAGAACATGGATCCTGTTGATACATACTTCTCTTCTGAGTTTCCCCCTCCTCCTAACGAGACGGTCGTTCTCCAATACTTCAATGTTTTCTGACGACCATATAGTCGCGAACGGATAAAGCAACAAATAAATTTGTTCATTCAGCTAGGTCTAGGTCCGACTTCGTATCAAACAACGTAAACAGGTCAGATTTCATTGACCGGTTGACGATGTTGACGATATGATTGCGTCGAACATTGGCTAGTTCATGTTGAAAGCAAGATGAGATGCAAACAATGCATCAAGACACGATTGAAAGTGTGAAGTGCAACGTAGCTCTACGTCTCAACAAAACACCTAAATGCTTCAAATCGAATCATGAGGTTACTCCTTATGAAATGCCCAATGACGCCATATGGCATCACTTCATATTTCCTATCTGTGGCAACACTAACACATTGATGGTAACTTGACTCAGACACATTCAACCAAGATTCAGGCGTTTCCAAATTTTTATTGAACGCAAGAAAAATTTGGGCTGGAAAGGGTTGAAATTCCTTCCTTGTTGGGGGTATGGTCGTGTAATTCAGACGGTCCTTCTGCGAAATCCATTTCATCCGTGGTAGCGATCACAGGAAGGTGACATGCCAGCATTCATTTCTCTTCTCTCTCGTTCGCATTGAATACATGGCCTCTAACCTTCTGGAAAATGCTGGAAAAACTTGGCTGTCGAATGCACAAACGCTATACGCCAGGCTTCACTTAATCGAGTGCTATATTTCCAAGCTGTCAGAACTGAGTCAGGACCTTCAGCTCGACCGGTGTTATAGGTTCCTAGCTGCATTGAAGAGAAACACAAAATAGGCAATTTCCCCTGGGCAATTTAATGCAAGAATTTCACAAAACAATAATAATACTATTAATAATCAAACAAACATAAATGATCACCCATATAAAAATACTGTGAACTGAGGCATTTCCGGAGGGTGAAGCATTCCAACACACTAGGAGAAATGACCCTGCTAGCATCATACGTTGCTAAGTGCATAATGTAATAAGGGGGAGAGAGAGAAGCAAAGCAATAACATCGCTTGGTACCGATGATGACGTAGATACTGAACTTGAGCATGCCAAGGGCTATTTGGGCTCACCAGATATACTCCACATAACTGCTGTTTCACTGTTTTCTTGTCAGCAGGTTGCAAGAAAAAGAGGCTATCTCTGAAAGGGAGGAAGCAAAAACAGTTCCATTATGGACAGCACTCAGTCAATTTCTTTTCCTCTTTTCAGTGTGAGTTTTCGTCAGGATGATTAATTCAAACCATTATAGGACTTAGATAGTTCCAATTGTGAATATACCTGGACATCAGTTTGATTTTTTTCAATTTCAGCTTAAGCAATTCAACTGAAATTGATAATGCTTCAAATGATGTACTTAGAGTTAGAAGCTGAATGACAGCACCAAGCCTACATCTTGACTTCTAAATCATTTTTTAATTTTGCAGAGAGAAGAGTAGCTAGATGTCAGTTTCAAGCAACAAAACACAACTTCCTAAACAGCAGAAAAAACAGTGTACCTTCAATGTGATGGAAAGTCACTTGCAGTGATGAATGACAAGATATAGACTACTACATGATCACCATAAGCTTGTCATCATATCAAAACAAGAATGTACATAATCACATTTGCTGCACTCCATAGAATATCCTTGCTGTGTGTTTACTTAAAGGGGGACAGCATAGTCACACCAAGGATATCATGCATTGAGAATTTCAAATACAGGAGACAGCTTCAAGCAAAGGATGAAAAATATCACATAGCAAGTTTTACATGTCTTTTTCATAATTCTCTAGTGTCCTTTCCAGGATCTATAAGTGCTTTCATTTGGGATAACACCTTCCAGGAAATTGCTTATTCATAAATCAGTAAGCACTATGCTCAGAGATGAATGCTCTTGAATTCATCAAGACAGCACTCCAGGGAAGCAAAAGTGATGAATACATAATGCAAAAAATGAAGCAAATTTGTACTCTGAAAATGGAAACAAATTTTTAAAGAGAAAAACAAGGATATTTGTACATTGGATGATTTTTTTTGTGAAAGAACCATGGGATTTTCCTGAGTTGAAAAAGTGTCAAACACTTCAAATGACTAAGGGTCAGCAAACTGATCAGGAACAGGGTACTGGTCCAGGTTGCGGAAGTACCAGGCCCGTATCACCTGGGGCATGTGAGACTCTGAGGGAATGAAACAGTGTGATGTTCTCAGTGGGATGTAGGGTCGTGCCCGGCTCAGAGGGAAGTTCCCTTCATCATCTGCATTAGGGGAAAAAAAAAAACCAAATAGTGCAAGAAAATGAAATTCACTTCACCTGTACGTGTTTTTGTCAATGGCTAGCATGCAATATGCTGTACGTGCATGAAGTCTGCATGCAAAGTCAGTGCATCTACAATTGAAAATTTTATCTTCAGCTCCAGCAGGATATGAGATTTTGAAATGGAAAAATCATGCGATCTGTAGATAAAAGACCCATTGTAGTAAAGCCATTTATCATGAAAAAGAGGGGTGGAGGAGGACCAACCATATAAGGAGATACAGTCTTGGAGATCAGAGTCCTTGTCCCAATTTTCCTCCTCCTCTGATGGAGCAGGAAAAGCCAGACAGTCACTAGGGGAATTCTCCTCTGATGGAGGAGGAGCAATGAGGTTTTCGCTTGGATAGTCCTTCCCAGTCTTCCTTGTACATAGTTCTTGATTTAACTGGGAAAGGCCTCCTTCATCATCCCAGTTTTCACTCTCTGAAAAATGAACCATTGAATATTCTCTATGCCTCCCAACTGAAGGAAACAAAAAAAAAAGAGGAAAAACTGTTATCTTATACATCCCTTCATCTACTAAGATACTTGGAACTGAATGTGTTTCACCAATGTGGATCTGCTAATAACTGAATTTTGGCCAATATGACCAAACTCATATGCATTGATGCATTGTATCTCCATGCATCACAACCAATGCCAGAGAAGTCATATCTTCAGCATATAGTTCAATTTTTTGCAGAATTTCAAAAGTATCTACTGAAAATTCCTTGCCCTGCATGATGCTGTTGCTTCAGAGTCTTCTTACTCCTCATGGATATTAGGTAACAACAAGGAGAGTAAAATTTCAATTGTTGCATGGCAAAATTTCCAAAGAATGAGGTGTTATACCTCCCAGGTTTCCATCGATTTTACATATAAAATTTTCATAAATCTTCTGCCATAATTTAATTCACTGCACACAGGTCAGTTTCACTGCCTTGTGGCTTCAGATTGGATATCTATTTCCCTTCCTTTCTGAAGTTTTCAGTTGGCTCCAAAATGGTTCCACAAGATTGAAAAAATAAGGTAAAGCTAATAAAATATAAGGTAAGGTTGAAGGAACAGAACTAGAATCTCTGCTACCTGAGAGACACAATCTGCCAAAAACATCCTCTTAATCTTCTCTTGCATGATGGCCAGGATTTCTTCTATCCTCTTTCATCCTTGCCACAGTTTATGTTTTAATTGTTTGTAGTGATCAGTAGCTTACATTGTCTATGACAGTAAAGTTCCTCTCCTTGGCATGAAGATTTGGGATAAGGGTCTTCTGATATTAGTTCTCAGTGATGAAATTCATGTCCTCAAGATAATCCACAGCAGCAGAAGAAATCATGGTTTAAAGAAGAAATCAGCAAAAAGGCCCAGTCATTTAAATTCATAGCATGGAAAATTACCACTTGCTTTTCTAAGGGTACATCCACACAGCAGTCCTTAACATGTCAACCATGTCAGCCACCTGTGACTGACACTAAGAAGTTCATGCCAAGCCTGTCAGCCATGGGTGGCTGATGCTCAACTCTGAGCTATTTTGACCTGTTTTAGTTGATGCTTGTATGCAATTCACTTAGCAATTTGAAGGCTTAGCCTCAAGCAAATAATAAGTAACATGATATTGACCTATATGAGCATTGATGTACTATATTCTTGGAAAAATGAACTTAATTGATCAGGAAGGTGGTTTGTCAAGCATTACAAGCACATTGGTGGGTTGTTCTGGACAAACTACACAGTATATCATGACTTACTCTGTCTTCTTCCTGGCTAGTTCATGTTCCAATTCTTCCTTCAAATGTGAATGGCATAAATTACATCACATTCTTGTTGCCAATTATGGTCTATATCTTTCCTACCAAACATTTTTCAGCAAAACTGATTCTGTTCTTCTGTTAGCAACAGTCCACGAAACCCATCATCTTGTTTTCTGCAATAGATTCTCCAATTGAATCAATTATATGTGCAAAGGTTGAAGAGTTTTATGCTGTAGTATATGCCATCAAAATGTCAAAACTGGCAAAATGCCAGTCTACCTGGTTATAGAACATTGATTCAGTAATGACAATCTTCTGACCAGGTTTCATTGTCTCCTGATAATTATCCCCCAAAGCATCAAGTAGAAGTCAAATCTTGGCAATGCAATCACTTTTTTCAATATTATTAGTGTCATAGAAATGCACCATACAAAGGAGTAATTCTAACCTGTTCCAAGACATAACTTGCAATATAAATCTGGTACAAGAGGTTGATGATCAATTGAGGGCATTGTCGCAAGAGTTATTCAAGTTAGCAGGCTTGAGAAATTCCTGAGATCAGTCCAGTCAGTATTGGTCCAAGTTTTTCAAAAAGATTACAGTGTAACCATGTTACATATAAGGGTTTCTTGGGTAAGGCAATTAATACCCACCCCCACAAGTAGCACATGGCATTGAATCAACATAGAAGCATTGAATCAACATTCAATCAATGTTGTTTCAATGTTTTGTGCTACTGGGGCCATAGGAGTCAGTGAAAGAGAAAACTTTCTGGCAACCTTGAAATATAGATCACATGATGCTTGTTCCTGAATCTCCAGTCCCACCATCATCACTTGCTTCTCAATTATTGATTGTCCTCATCTACTTATGTCACATCACAACCTCTGTCATTTCTTCCATTATCACAATCACTAAGATCAAGAGGTGGTGCAAATGTGGTTCCGTCGTGGTCTTGTTCATTGTCAAGAATTTGACTGGACATTTTTATTCAGCTGATAATAGAAATAGACAAAATGAGTGGGTTCATAGCCACATCACCTATTGGTAGTTTACAAATGAAATATAATGGAGTCAGACAAAGTCAATCCATTATTGGTTGACATAATTTTTTGGTCGCAAGCATTTTTTTTTTTCTAACAGTATCACAAGGTATTAAAATGCCAAAGTTCAAAGTCCACTAGATGTAGGACAATTCCTCTGACCTGGTGGGAGCACTTTCCTTAGAAGGGCTTGGCAGTCAATGTGTTAAATTGTTATTCCATCCCTCAGTCAGTGCTAAGGGTACCATATCAAGTTTTTTCTTAGTTGTATCTGATTGGAAAGAAAGTTCTCGGAATTTCATGAACAATTATTACAACCCAGTTTATTTAAAAGCAAAATCATCTCAATCATGAATGTAATCACCATTGGCCTCTATCACTTCACGCCAACATTTATGCAAACTATGGATGCCATTCCAATAGAACTCTGGCGGCTGCGCTACGAAAAAGTTGGCCAAATCGGTTTTCAGGTCATCTTGGTTGGCGTACTGCTTTCCACCCATGTGACGGTCCAGGGCAACGAAAAGGTGATAATCGGACAGGGCAAGGTCGGGGCTGTATGGCGGATGCGGCAGCACCTCCCAGCACAGGTCCAGTAACTTTAGATGAGTCTGTCTAGTGGTGTGCGGCCGGGCATCGTCGTGGAGGAGGATGGTTCTCTGTCTTTCTGGGCGTGTTTCAGCCAGTTTCTGCTGCAGCCGATCGAGTTGCTGGCAGTAGTAGGCAGCAGTGATGGTGGTGTTTTGCGGCAACAGCTCAAACATGATGATGCCTTTCGAATCCCAGAAGACCGAGAGCATAATCTTTTTGGGGTGCAACTCCTGACGGGGTTCTCTTTCGGCCGATGCTCCGGCGTCCACCCACTGACGTTTTCGTCGAATGTTGGCATNTAAGAGGGTAGGGCTGGTTCATGGCTGGAGAGCACCAGGGCTGTAATAATATACGGTTGTATGCCGAAGGACACAACCTACTTATAAACACACGCAGAACATTCTAGCATGCTCTGGAAAAAAATTGTACTGGATATTCAAGAAATTCCGAGAACTTTCTTTCCAATCAGATAGACAAAATATGAATGGTTGCCAGGAAGAACAATGTCTCAAAGACATCTAGGAAAAAAATGAAGCTGTCACCCTAATGAACATTTTGTACTCTTTCTGATTTTGGAACTGACTTCCAGCAAGAAAAATAAGAGTCTCATCAAACCAAGGGGTAAAAGAGCAGGTTTTATGGGGGTGGGGGAGAGATGGAATAGAAGAAACATAAGCAAACTTGCAACTTGGGCAAGGGCAAAATATGGGCAAACTCACAGGCAACTATCAGGGGACAAAGAGGTTAGATAGGAGCCATGAGGACTCTAGGCCCCTCAGTCTCCCCTTGCATGCACAACTGTATATGCCTCCATATCTAATCAAAAGTGCCTGACAAATATTGGGAGCTAAAAGTTCAATCCAATACCATGAGAGGCCAGTAGCAGAGCATGCTTGACCACAGTGTAAATGCTTTTCCAAGAATGCAACATGCAGCTATAATTCCAATGGTAACAGTGATCCAGATGCTAATAGCAGTCTTGTCCTGCTTCAAAGAAACAATTCCCTCAGACTATGCCTTACCAGTGGCAATCTGGTAAAAAGCAAAATAAGTAACAATCTCAGAATAAACATTCTGCAACAGAAAAAACTTATCTTGACAAGACAGGCTTTAGCCAATGTGACCTGGCTTTTAAAGGAAAGAGTAAGCTAGTAAGCTTGTAGTAATCTGAGCTATTGAATAGTAAGCACAATCAAGGTGAGACAGAAAAGTCATAACCTCTTGGCATTACACAGGGTAGGTGCTAGGTTCACAGGGTTCAATGTAAATCTATCATGGTGGAAAAAAGAAGGAAAAAGTGTCCTTACCACTACTACTGCCTGAAGGATTAGAGCAGGAATGATATGGAGTATCCTCGTCCTCGTTTGGCTGAAAGTCATTAGAAGTGGAGTGCTTTTTCCAGAGACTATTGCTCCTGCCAAGGGCCTGGGCCAACACTGAACCCTGAAATAATTGGAAGCCAAGTGACAATCTAATTGGGACAATCTTGATGCCATACCAACTTGAAAAAGTTGAGAAATTATGCCACAAAATACAATAAGTTATAGCATACACAAAGATTAGCCTTAGCTAAAGCAAATAAAAAGATTAATTAAAAATTGTTCTACAAGCAATAAAAGCAAAGTATTGCAAAGCAATGTTCTTGGATAGAAGTATATGACATTGTCCTATATCTCAGCTCAAGCAATATCTTAGTGAGGGGTACACGGACTATTTCTAGAATGCTTTAATGCAAACACTGCATAAAGCAAGGATAGGTAAACAAATAAGTTTTAAAATATATGAGAATACTTCTATAAATATGACTACCAAAGGCATACACTCTGATGGAGCTGATTGATGAGGGTTTCTCGGTTGCATCCCCGCCAGTTGCCCTTGAGAGTGGGGTCTCGGGCTGAATAGGACATCTCTGGCCGTATGAGGGGCACATCGACAGCCTCAAGGTCCTTAAAAGGATTATAATCCAAGTCCAAGAACTGCAGACTTGTCAACTCCTTCAAGCATGGGGGTATGGCAGTGAGTCTGTTATCAAATAGGTCCAGACATTGTAGATCCTTCAATTGACCAAAGGAATCTGGTAGGCTTCTCAACTGCAACCACAAAATGGAAGTGCTGCTACATGATTACTGAGTACAGAACTCAAATGGATCTTGCATGCATCAAGGAATACAAGGATTGGACAAATATTTGGGTTATTTGTCTGCTCTCTTCCCTCTGCCCCCCCCAAGTCTGTCCAAGTCTAACTTACCAAATTCTTAGCAATCCTCAGGTCTTTCAGTCCAGATAGTCTGCCAAACTTGTGAGGAAGACACTCTAAAAAGTTTTGTGAGAGAAAACACACACGGAGACTTGCAAGATTGCAGAAAGATTCTGGCAATTCCCGAAGGGAGTTATGGGCCAGATCCAAGACTTCCAAACTATCCAGGGAACCAAAGCTCTCTGGAAGCTTCTCCAGCAAGTTCTCTTCAAGGTGAAGTTCCCGTAAGTGCTGAAGCCTCCCAAAAGACTCAGGTAAAGTTTCAAAGTCATTGCCATTATGAAAAGTCTGACGACGTTCAATCTCATCAAGATGGCTGCCCCCATGAAAGTATTCCAAATTTCCAAGATTTCCAAAGTTCTCAGGGACTTGGAGGATGTGGTTACCACGGCACTCCAGGTGCCGCAGTTGCAGCATGGTCTCCCCCATTTCTAAGCTGAAGATGTCTCCATAGAGGCTATTCTCATTCAAAGAGAGCTCTTCAATGCTTCTGAGCTCATGGAACCATGAGGGCAAGTCTGGGCCAATCATATTGCACTGGATATACAGTTTCCTTAAAACTGGGGCACTAGAAAATTTACTGGGGAGCTTTGCCACTGTGTTGTAGGATATGTCCAACATGGTCATGTATTTCAGCTTTCCCAGTGACTCTGGGATTTCCGCAATGTGATTGTGACTCAGGTCCAGAATTTCCAGGCTTTTGAGACGACCAAAGCTCATGGGAATCTTGAGCAGTTCATTGTGGCTCAAGTCAAGGTGGCGTAACTTTGGTAGACAGCCAAGTGTATCAGGGAGAATTTTGAGCTTATTTTCATTTAGAAACAGCTCTTCTATGTTGCAGAGTTCATCCATATCTTCCAGCAGACAGGATAAAGAATTGCCAGTAAGAGCCAGTATCTGCAAGTGCTTCAGTTTCAAGATGGACTCAGGTAAATACCTGACTTGGTTCTCTTTTAACCACAGTTCCTCAAGATTTTCCAGTGTTCCTATAGAGTCTGGCAGGCAAGTCAAGTCATTCCCATTCAAAGCCAGAATCATTACATCCTTGAACTGATTAATGACACCACAAGGGAGCTCAATAAGATCTTGGTAATTCATATTCACTTTCTTTTGATTACCATGATGCACTCCAGCACCATTTAAACTGAAGCCATTATCATGGAGATGCAAATCCTTTTTAAAGCAGATTGGGGGATTTTCCTCAGAGGTTTCTGCTCCTTTATGGTCCATTTTGAACCTGTTTGTGGTAGGTCAAGTGTTATATCAGGCCAGCCATTGGACATAGGCCAGCCTAGGAGAGATAATGAGGAAAAAATTTGGCAATGCAAGTTTAGTAGCACAGTGGAATATGACACTCATAATTGAACCACAAACATTTAATTACATTACTCCAACAGATAAATCCATCCTTAACAACCTTACTGGGGTGTATCTATTCACTTCAAGGCAGCCTCATGTAGTCATGAAGTTCAATTATTTAATTCAACATAAAAAAAAAGGCCATTGCTAGCATAAAAAATTTTAAGGGCCAAAGCTACCTTAGCAGATATTAAATGATGGGCAGTTCTGGCTTTAAAAAATTGATATCCTGAAATTATTAACTTCACAAGGAGGCCACCTAAGAACAATCTTCAGAGCTTAATATTTTTTTAATGCTTGTTATATGCTACCAAATTTAGAGTTAATAATAAAAAATAAAGGATACAACTAATCCTACAGCACAAAAATTGACAAAATCAAGAGACAGGCTAAAATCAAATACTATAGAAGGGGTATTGGAAAAAGTTTGACAGATAATGACATGGCAGGCAATAAGAGAAGCAATGAGAAAGTGAATTAATTCTTCAATAGTCTGGAGGTCCTGCAGTTAGGAAAAAATTACTCATCTAAAGGACAGGAAGGAGGAATTTAATCAGCTCCATATGACTAATCAAAAAAATCTAGCAGGCAAGATACATCACATAAATTCAATTAATCTTGAAATTGTGGGAAGTGCATCCAAAAGGAAAGCCATCTTTTCTTCGTACTTGTCACCGAAGATGGAATCACAATTATCATCTATGCCCTGAAACCAGAGTTTCACTATATCTCATACAAGGCAAGGCAAAGATGCTATGTCATATCTTGCTTCCCTCTTGGCATACCTCTACAATCTCATTGATGACGGGGGGACAAAGGGGAATTTCCCAATATGCTTGAAGGTAGTCAGGGTAACATCAATTAATTATATAGAGCAAATTGGAGACAAATGAAATTAGGCCAATATCACAGCTTCCTAGATTCAGTAAAATGCTTGACAGAGTTGTAGGATACATTCAAGGGTAGCAAATTTCTCTTTTTGAACAAAAAATTTTCCCATAGGGATCAAATAGGATTTTGAGAGGGAATAAATACCACTGTAGCACTAATGAAAGTAATTAAGAAGACATGGAAAGAACTGGATCAAGCGAATACAGCAACAATGGCTTCTTGATTCTTTCATAACAAATCTTCTGTTTATCTTATACCATAATGGGTTTAGAGGTACTGAAGATCAATAGTTCAAAAGTCATTTAAATTAGAGGAAGCAATTGATTTCATAACTTCAATAGGTGGCTCATAGCATTAAAACTGACTGTAAATGTAAAAAATCCAACTTTATTTTCTGTGATCCACACAAGGCCACACCATTTCTAGCACAAAGTCAAAGGAATAAATCAAAATGAAAATCATACAAACAAATACTTATGTGCATGGTTAGACAAGTCTGAATTGCAAGGAGCACTTCCAAATTGTAGCAGGAAAAACAGCCCTCAGTAATATTGTTAAGAATAAAATCAAAGACTATCTGCTGAAATGGACATTATGGAATGCATATTTCGCAACTGTGCATAAACTTATAAGCTACTACCTTATAATATGGGGCGAGTAGTGAAAATCCATGCCCATGATATTCAAACAGCAATGAAAAAAACCATGAAATTTTAAAGACATTTTTACATCTGAGAAAGGACCAATTGCTACTTCATGCAAAATGATTTAAATGTCATTATGCATCATGGCATACATAGAGCTGAAGAGGGATAACATTAAATTTACATTAGCCTGTTACTAGCATTGAGAAATTGCAGGCAAGACCTAATTATGGTTGCAGCAACAAGATATAGGTCAAATCTTGCTAAAATAAAAATTTCATCCAAAAGAGGAACATGGGTCACTGTTGATGTCTGTTCCCTATTTAACTGCTCTATCCTATTAGTTTTTTATTACTTTCTTTCTCTTTACCCATTCTCCTTTCTCCAACTTTTTCACAGCTCTAGACTTATTGGCCTGCTCTAATGGAGCATTTTGTTTATAGCAGTACTACACTTTTCTCCAGCATTGACATTAATAAATGTACTTTTTCATTCATACATTCTACTTGACCAACCCACACTTATCTTACACTTGCTCTTCACCTCCTTCAGGAGCACTTTGCACCAAAGCTGTTTAATATCCAGCAACTGGTGGCATATCACCTTCATCTCCTCAGACACTATTTCATCTGCCTAATCAAAGTCCAACTTCATGTGCTTTGTTGCACATTGTTGGTCTTTGGAGAGATTAGGCCTATATGCATGTGGTTGGTGTCGCACTCTACCACGTAGAAAGACAATAGGTCTGAGTTCAGTGAAGAACCATAACTTGCATACCTGCCCTGGTTTTCCGGTATCTTGTTCATTTGATCCTTATTTTACTGAGTTGCTTTTCTTTATTTTAAGAAATTGTCCTATACTTTTGGTACATGTTGAAACCAAACTTTGTAAATGATTTTAAACGTAAATAAGGCCTAAACACCAGAAGCCATCACACTGCTAACGTTAGACATACGAATAAGAAGGGCTCGAGGTATTAGGTTAAGCTCTTTATCATCTCTATTAGGTTTGCATAGGCTTACCGACGATGTCATACTGGATGATGAGGCCTACAGTCAATTCAAGGCTTAAGATTTCTACATAGACGGAGAGTCAATATTTGACGAAAATTTTGCCAAGTTAGTATGGAAAATTGGTTTATCAAAGAAATACAATAAATTTACGTTCTTTCAAAGAGGCATGGTCAGTAGGGCGCGAATTGTCTAATGTAAAAAGTAAAAACTTAAAAAAAGTGAAAATCCAATATCCACTATCTGGGCGAGGATTGTTCTAATGCCAAGTTGGCTAGCCTATATCACGAACCCAAATGCACATCTGAAGGCTGCCTGGGTTTAGTGCCAACAAATTATACGCAATCGCAGAAATCAGAAGTCCAGAAATATCACAATAATCCGACTACTGTCAGACATTTACATTTAATTCAAAGCCGATAAAAGGCACATCAAAAAACGTTGCAATCACATCAAAAAGTGGCCCGTTGAACCGATCCATCCCCACTGCAGTCATATAACCCTCGGCGCAGAAGAGATATCCGCCTCATAGAGATCTTATATTTCATACCTAGAGTGGCTTGTGGCGGTAATGTAGTGTGAGGTTTGGAAGCCATGATAGCCGGGTCATCCATAACCGGGTAGCGCCTACTTCACCATGCGTTTCACATGCTTCCTGGAGTCATTCTCTTGTCAGACCTAGTCGATACGGTTCGAGGAACTCTTGATTGACCAAACGTTCCACGTCCACGCTGAAATGGTACGTGAAACTCGAATCGGTCTAAAATTACACGCCTTCTGAAATGGTTCGAGAGTCTGAATAGGCCTGCTATCGGCCTAACGTTCCACGTCCTCGACGAGATGTCGAGACCATGGATTGATCCTTATTGGCCTAATTGGCCACGTAAGTCGAGGATTGAGTTTCGTTTGAACGAGAAAAGGTGGGCTTAACTCGACCTCGACTCGTGATATCGAAATGGGCGAAATCGCCTCTTGATGTCACTATCTTGACTCTTGACATGAAACTCGAATCGGTCTAAACTTACACGCCCTCTGAAATGGTTCGTGAGAGTCTGAATAGGCCTGCTATCGGCCTAACGTTCCACGTCCTCGCCGAGATGTCGAGACCATGGATTGATCCTTATTGGCCTAATTGGCCACGTAAGTCGAGGATTGAGTTTCGTTTGAACGAGAAAAGGTAGGCCTAGGCTTGACCTGAAAAAAGTTAATTGGTTAGGCCTAGGCTTGAGGTTGAGAGGGAAAGCATTTGAAAAATGGTTTTCACATGACTTCATTCAAATATTATGTTGGCTGCCTTGTCAGTACAAAACAGTGAGAAAGGTAGCTAAAGCTCCAGGGACGTCATTTGGTAAAACTGTACGGGGGGCAAAGAAGATAGGCAACTTGAAAAAATAAACACAGTTCAGCCGGAAATATTATCGCCTACTTCAATTTCGTGAATTTACGAGATGTAATCAATCGCAAAATTGAATCGCTCGTGAATTTTTTTCCCGTATGGACTAATGGCCAAAACATGGGGAGTGGTCCAGTTCGTGAAACTCAAATTTCGCGAAATNCTAATGGCCAAAACATGGGGAGTGGTCCAGTTCGTGAAACTCAAATTTCGCGAAATTATAAAGGAAAACCTTAGGATTTCACGATATTAAATCGGCGCCAGAAATCCTCCCTGCGCTGTCATGTAAAACTTGGCTAAAAGAAGAATGATATTTAATTAGATGAAACTATCAATACAACCATGATTGCACTCGGCAACAAAAAACCTCTCAAATGACAGTTGAAGAGGCGTAAATCAGATTCGCAGAAGTTCTCTGGTTTAGGAAAACCGTTTTAACGCCCACGAAATAGATTAGATTCAGCGCAACAGCGGAGAACGAGGAACTTTCAATTTTTTTCGAATTCGTCGATACTTGGTGTTCGCTTTCGATGCGGGCAATGGCAGACAACTCTACTCTTTTTTTTTTTACTATCTTCGTGACGAATAAGAGTCTCTCGGCCCAGGTAGTCATTAAAAGCAAGTTAAAACAGGGTCGATTGGCTTTAAGTTTTGAGAGCGCATCTCTTGAGTTCGTGAATGCTCTGAGATTTAACAACAAAAAGAACAGGAGCCATGAAAACCATGCCGCATCAGAGTTCTAAAGGCAGACTTTCAGGCTATTACATTATGGGGAATAAAGAAGGCTATTTAAAAATCGCTCTAAGACACAAGGGGGGGCAACTGCCCCCCCCCCCCCCCCCCCCGCCCCCCCCGAAATGACGTCCCTGAAAGCTCTGGAGTAAAACTCTTCTCTAGTCTGAAGGACCACATGTCCTAGCGTGCTTTCGATAG